AGACAACAACCACAAGCACACTGAATTTTCGAGTGGCTATCATGATTTCCCCAATAACATCGAAGGCTCTCACCCATGCAGTGGGAACCAATCTCCACCAGCATCAGGTTCATGTCAGCAAGATTCAACTCAAAAGGAAGGAAAGTCACAAACATACAATGCTACGCTACGCTTCGCATCTACAAATAATGCAGATGAAGAGAAGAAGGAGGAATTCTACAGACAACTGCAATCAGTATTGGACAAGACCACAACCCACCTCAGATGCGGACATCAAAATGCATTCTCATGGATGGGGTTATATGAATGCCAAACTGGGAGCAGACAACACAGGAAGAGAACTAACCATGGGTCGAGAGGCACTCGGTGAAATGAACGAGAATGGAGAATTGTTTGCAGACTTCTGCTCATTCAACGATTTGTTGATTGGAGTGAGGCACTGTGTTTAAGCACAAGGATTTCAGAATAAAGAAAGCTGGATAAAATTTCGAGGCGTAATTCAACCACTCATTCATCAACAGAGTGAAGAAGAGTTTTCTTTTTAACATAACAAAGTTGTGAATGAGAACCATGTGACACAGCTACGTAAACAGAGAAAAGCAAACACAACATTGATAGATTTGTCAACAATACTAGCTTCAAGTGTTTGGGTAGTGCTTCATGGTATGTCTCCAGAATTACATTAGAAATCTTCGTGTCTTATGATCTGAAGTAGTTGAATGACGTACGTATCTTGCAGGTGTATTATGTGTAGGCGATACTGTAAGTTTATTTTCTTCAGCATAGGGAGTTAGGTTTTTAAGTGAACAGTGCGGTCTACGAGGACTTCAAACTCACTAGGGAGAATGAATGCTGTTAGGGTCAATCAGAAAATACCACGAGTTGAATAAATTATAGAAATGTTTAATGATGAACTGCTATTGGTGTCTAAGTGATGGAATTATAAAGATGAGACTTACGCTTTTTGGATTCAGTCATGTAAAAGATCATAATAGTGCAGTACTTAGATTTTCATGCTATTCAATCTCTCAACCACATTTATTTACATTGAACATCATCTCCATAAAGGGTGACTTTTAAAAAGGAAGATATTTACCTTCCAAATTAGTGTTAATTAGGTCAAAGAAGTGCCCAATTGCCGTAATGTTATTTTGTCTAGGTATATTTATTTTTCTGCACAACTTATACTCTTAAAAACTAATTTGTTGGAATGATCAAATTTGAAGGGAAGAAAAATACCTTTTAGCACCATCAGATGGAGATTATGGTATGCTGTAAAATGAAAGAAGCTGAAAAAGAACAATCATTAAATTTTGACCTAATGGCTGAATAGCAAACTCTACATCACAATAAGTGATAGCTCTACACTTAATACTGTTTAGATTCGAAGATGAGAATGACTCGAGTTGGTGAACTAGAAGCAAACAACCATACAGTGTTTTTTTCTCAATGGTTTTATATGCTGATTCCCCTTGATAAGACCATCACCTGTCAAAGTATTTTTTGATCGAGACGTAAGACCTAGAAGCCTTTGCGAATAAAGAAAGCTGTATAAAATTTCGAGCCTTAATTCCACCACTCATTCATCAACAGACTGAAGAAGAGTTTTCTTCTTAAAACAATGGCCATCTTAATGTTACTACTGAGATGACAATTATTTAAGTATGCGGCTAAGTAATGTCATTGTGTTAAGTGACTTCAAATATTAAAGTGGGGGAACATTTTGTAAGTTGTATGAATTCGCTGGAAGTTCTGAAATAATGATAACCGCTTTATTTCACACAATATTTTTGATAGAGTATGGAATTCTCAAAGTGTAACATTTCAACAGATTCCCTGCCCTTGCAATATTTTAGAAAGAAATGGTTACTGCGTCTGGATAATCTTAAATGATATGAAACAACCAGCTGTTGTTAGATTACAGAATGGTCTGGGATGAAGAGTAAACAGAAAAGCAAGCATAAGTTTAGTGGAGCCAATTCATTCAACTAACAGAATAATCGTCAATTCGAGGTGTGTCGGAGGGACAGAAATATGATGTATTTTCGTGTAACTGGAGACCCATTTCCACTAACAGTGGCATTTGTTCTTCATTTTGTCGTTAGCTTCAAAAATGAATTGTTGAGTCTATTTCAAAAATGTGCAACAGCATACGATAATTTTATAAGATAGACTTAAAAACCGGAAACAAACTGAAAGGGAAGAATACGAGTTTGTATACTCGGCGGAAAATGTTTGGTAGCCCGTGGTTCAGACGAGCTGCCAAGAAGAAGTAAATTTGGATAGAAATTCATATGAAAAACACAATCAGTCGTAAACTATTTGAACTACAATAACAGAGGAAACCTTTTTTGAGATGAATGGTGGTTTTTAATTTAGAAGTAGTATTCATCATGGACTGGCATCAGTTGGGGAACCACTGAAAATCTGGGAGCACTGGACAGCCGTTTCGTCCTAGTATGACCTAAGCTATCTTACTAACTTATCATATTAGTTGATTTATCTAGAATACCAGACCTACTAGCTAACTGACAAAGAGGTTGAAAGTTGAAAAAACAATTACACAAGAAAATAACAATATTCTATAATAAGATGCTATTCTGGAGTTTAGATAAGCTTTTTAAAATATGTTCAAGTTATATATGTATGAAAAAAACACATTCATTAGTAACTTCGCCAGTTATATTGGTAAGTGTATTATTGCTAGGAAATATTTTTGCTACCGCAAACCATCTACTAAAGTATGGATGGAAAAGTAGGCATTACCTATATGTAGATTAACGAAGATTTTATTTTCAAGATAGTATATATTACGAAATGATATCAGGTGGAGGATCACTGAAAACCTGGAAGCACTTGACAACTGTTTCGTCCTAGTATGTGATTCAGCAATACACACAAACGAACTCGCCAGTGATCAGACTCAGGCTCTTCAGGTCCCACGGTGAACGCGTTCATTTTTCAGCCACTGGGTCGGAGTTCACTGGTTCATAGTTTTCCACATCAGACATTGTGTGATATACAGGGACTATCTGCCTACGACCTAAATTAGCATCCGCCTCACTTCCGATTGGTTGATGCCACAGGT